CTCGTAATAACCTCATATTATACATCACATCAATTCACTACATTCGATTACCTACCATAGACTCCGGTCAGTCAAAATGACTGTTTTGAACTGTAGGCATTAATCAGTGATTCTGCCAATGACGGAGAGATAAAATCTAGGTTTACGTCACGACCACGTGGCCGAGGTAATGTGGCGACGCCATCATACACTGGTATTCACTCTTTCTTTATCTCTGCACCGACGGGATAAAGTCTAGCCTGCCTTTTCCTGTCTGGGCTTCTGGCTGTCACTGTGGCTGGTAGGATAATTTTTTCTTATTATTTTTACCCCTGTGTCGATTTCTCCCTTTGTGTGTATAATTTTTCACAACAAAGAAAATAAAACCTTGTGATGTGATTTAACCCTGTTGTTGGTTTCTTTGCGTCACCTTTTCCAACTGTATTTTGCTTCCCTCATGCATGTCGTGTTCATTTTTATGTTTTACCAATGTATTTAGAAATACCGCTGTTTTTTGTCTCAATTTTTTTGAGGCGACTGTCACTCGTATTTCAAAGCAAGGTCGCAGTAAAAATCAGTTAAAGTGAGTTGTTTGTTGGCATGAGTGGAAAGTCCTCACGCTCGGCTACCGGTGCTTCGTGTACTGAGACGTCGAGTAGGAGGCCCAACGGTGGAGGTACCGATATTTTTCGGTCTCCCACGCTGATCGGAGGGCATCCTCACAGTTTGTTGTTACTTTATTTTATCAGCAACGCCCCTGGAAGTCTTTCCTCCTATGGGGTCTGTTGTGGGTCCCTTTGTGGATCCATCCTCGAACGGCGTCGGGTTTGCAAATTGCGTCCCTGCCAGGCCGGGTAGATCAGATGCAGTCGGAGAGAGCTGTCTCCACTGTGGCCCCTCGGTCAGCAAGCAGGAAGAAACACAAAAAGCATCGCTCGCATTCATTCTTTGGGGGAACCCCCTATTCCCAGCCGCTGATTTGGGTGAGATCGAGGCTCAGACCAGTTGCGCTGGGTCTTCTCTGGGACCTCGCGCACTGAATACCAACGGGGATGCTGGCAGCCAAGCCTCTAATTTCGGGGTAGGGCTTTCGGGTCAGGGCACACGTTGCGCCTCTTTCCTACTTTCAGCTAGCCAGGGTTCGTTGCGCGGTAACAGCCTCTGGAATTCACCCTTGAATCCGGGCTCCGCTGTGGATTTTGACTCCCTTCTTGCCGACCCACGGGGCAGTCCCTCAGTGTCTTTAATTCATAATGACTCTGTGAGCCACCCCGTTGGGGTGATGCGGAGTATCATCGATCCTAGTGATACTATGTGAATATCCCCACCCTCGATCCTAAGGCAACGACTTATTGTTGCTTCAACGCTTATGGGATCACAGGCGCTGGGATTCAAAGAAATCCCATCAGCACGTCTCCCCTGGTCCGGCCAAGTGCTGAGTGGAACGCAGGGCACGCAGACGGTTTTGATGGGCGGGCGTTGGTCAGCTGCAGAGGAGGTAACGCCTATGGACCAAATGCTACCCGGTCGGTGTGGTTTCGGGATCAGACCCCAAAGTGTGGGATGAGACCAAATGCCCCAAACCGGATCCCAAGGCCCCTATCCCAGACCCCGGTACCATGAATTTCTGTTTTGCAAACCGGATAAAGGGGGATGGCCGCGTTTCATGGGCGTTCTCGCTTTAGATGATCCATCACGCCCTGAGGGCAGAGTTGCTGGAAGCACA